CTTGACTGCGCCTACAAACAAGGATGCGCGTTATTTCCTTTTCTGCTGATTACTGCTTTATGTGAGCTGAGCATGTATAGGCTTATAGTGCCTCCTGCTTTATAGAGATTAGGACCGCTGACATATATGCAATATGCGTGTGTGTGAGATCAAGCTCATGCAGATGATGTGGATGAGACAGCTCGGCCATTCATGATGCTGATGCTGATGCTGATGCCGAGGAGGAGGCCATTTATTTTTACCTCAACGCTGAAGTGCTGATGCTCCTCTCCGCACACGGCGCCTGGAATCCAAAGCAGAAAATGCAAGCAGAATGCTGCCGCGTAAAAGCAATCCGATGGTTTTCTTTGACTGCAGGATGCTAAGGTCATAATGACCCGTTTATGTCCAGAGTTGCTTTTTGTTGTCAGAAGAACCCGCCCGTCTGCCTTGGCTCCTGTGTCAAATGGAAACCATCAGGCGAGCTGTCAAAGGCAGATTTGGATGGATGCAAATAAAACCGAGGGCCCGGTGTCCGTGTGTGTGTGTGTGTGTGTGTGTTGATATAATCCCGATGTTGGCGTCGAAGTATTCCGATGTCAAGCAGAGATGAGGCGGTATGTCAGAGGCGCCAGCTTCTCCATCCTTGTCTCCATCCTGGGCTCCCTGTCTCTAGGCTCCCTGTCTCTAGCAGCGGCAGCAGCAGCAGCAGCAGCAACAGTGGCCATGTACAGTAACCAGTCTGCGCAGGAAACGCTCCTCCCGACTCCACGCCTGCGCTTTGATTTTCCTCTAAGTGTTTCGCTGCTTGGCCGAGTCCTGAGAGCTGCCGTGCACGGTCCGTGCACGAGAGATGAAATATGATTCTCCAGAACTGAACTGCCTGTATGTTTGAGTTTTTCAGCACAGATGCTCTAACTGTGTTGCTGCAGATCAGGTGTACAGCCACACAATCTGACACGATCTGAAGCAGCTTTATTGGCCAAGTATGAATGCATTTGCAAGGGTTTGACTCCGATTTCAATGTTATCATCTTAGGATAAATTAAATCAAGAACACCATTTTGCAACATATTGATGCATCTGTTGATGCAGGGGCCCAGTAACGTGTATAAAATATCAATGTGGCACCATGGTCCAAATAAGTCATGCCCTAGTTGAGATGACCACGTTCTAATTCATAGAATATAGGACAAATATTATACGTTTTTGTAATCTAATTCATAGAATATAGGACAAATATGATACGTTTTTGTAAATAAACCACTAATCTAATATAAACATAATATACTTTAATGCAGCTTTAACACTTGAAATTGAAAATTTTGGATTTATTTTGGCAAAACAAAAATTAATGTACTAATGCTTATTTGTGAGATCAAAGTTAATCATATAGTGTAATATTTAATGCTTATTTGTGAGATCAAAGTTAATTATATAATGTAATTTGTGTGTTTTCTTGCTTGCAAATGTCAAAGATTCTCGAGAAATCTGTAAAAGAATTGCATTCATGTATTTTAACAACCTGCTTAAAGCAAAGCAGCCACTAGATGACGGTGTTTCATTGATACATGTAACTGTTCGGATTACTCTGAAGAAAAGTACGACATAAACAAAATAGATCAGGGCTCTGTATGACAAGAAGGTTTTATTGACACGTGTCCCGTGAGTTTGTGCTCAGGCTGCAGCTGTAGAATCGATCAAAAATCGAAGAGAAATCGAACCCATCCCAGGGACAGCGTCCATCTCTGTGTGCATTTTGTTTTTGCTCACAGTGTGAAGGACTGGAACTGTGCCATCCAAAATGCTCCCACACATAAAACCCTGTGGGGTTCTTGCTCTGAAATAAAACCCCAAACATATCAAATGTTTCTACCTCAAAGAATTGCAACAGAATCTAACAATCTTTTGAAGGCGGTCTGGCCTCCCGTAGGGACATCTGCATTTTAATCTAATTTCAACCAATCTCCATCTTCTACAGACTTGCTCAAGAAATTGCCACTTTTGCAGGATAAGTTAGCTCTTCTTTTATGCAGGACAAAAAACAAAAACCACCTTTGAGAATGAAGAAATTCGTCCTTGCATAAAACAACTTCAGTGCACTGCAATCACAGAATTACGACACCTTTACTGTGCAGTAACATCAATCCCCTGATGAATTAGGGAGTGTCTGCAAACATTAGCAAACGCGACTGTCATCTGACAGACGGTAACAACAGCATCGATGACGAGTCCTTAAAAGAAATCCCTCCCCATGCACAAAAAGGTGAGACGGCTTTGAATAATCACTAAGATTATAATAAAGGAATAAAAACTGACAGACTGACAGAAGAATATTAAATTGATTCCTACTTTATTTACTTGTGTCTATTAACCTGAATTAACTAGTGCAACAATTAAAATGGGAACATGTTTTCATACAAGTGCATTTGTCAGTGGTCAGTGCTTTAGCCTCACAGCAAAAAGACTGGTTTGATCCTTTTTTTTTTTTTTTGTCCTTCCTATTCTTACTGTCCAGCGTTTACCCCGCCCTGTGCGTGATTATACAGCGCCCCCTATTAGCATGGAAAGTATAACGTTTTAGATAAAGTAATGGTTTAAATAACAAAAGCGTTGTTGTTTTATTATCAGTGACATAAGACACAAAATCATATTTCATCACTGAAAGCCATTATTACAGAGGGCGTGGGTGTGTGCATGTGGTGTTCTGTACTTATCTTTGTTTTTACTGTTCTGTTGACGCTTTCACTCAGCAGTCATGTGGTTTTATTCTGGCTCACATTCTTCAACCTCGACCTTCACTCTACCAGATGACCATTAATATATACATGAATGATTCCAAAACATACTGAAGCCAAGGTGTCAAACTGTTTTCATTAAAGGAGACAAATGGGGGCAAAATTTGCATTTTGTGCTAATGTATACTGTATGTTGACCAAGGATCACCTTTTCAGCTACAACACCTCCAGATATAGATGAGCTCTAATAGCGGGCCAGGTCCGGGCCTCGGGCCTTATCTCTGACGTCAAGTCATGACATCCTATGGTTTCGAAACCTGAGCAGACCTGGGACCTGAGTTTTCACGCAATCATAACCATTACTCATAAGCGGGAACAAGGTGTTTCATATTTTGAAACAGGATGTGACTGGTTTTGCCAAGAGTTGAGAAAGGGATACCTATTAGGCCTGGTTCATTTATTTACTTTGAGGTGTTTACTGTGTAACTCTCCGAGCTTCCATGGTAACCACATGTTCCAACAAGAGAGCATGGATTGGAGCCAAGGACCAGAGGGCCTGATGGGAGTGAGACACTTCCACACCATTAATCACTCCTCAGCACGAGAAATGGATTCATGCAGGTGTGTGAAGTTTTAAAAAAAATAATTAAAATTAAAAATTAAAATTAAAAGGCTTTAATCATTGCATAAAAAAAAACACCTTGAGGAAATTCACCTCCGGGGCTTCAGGATGGTGAAACTCAACGCAATCTCACTGGCTTTTTAATTACACGTAATTAAAGTAATTGGTAGCCTTTGTTCTAAATAGTTGGGGTTTTCTTTTAGTGGTTCAAAACAACAAGCTTTAGATTATTTGGAAATTAGGGTTAAGTTGAGTTAAGGATTTATATCAACCCTGGTCATCTTCTTACTGCTCAGTGTGAACAAGTAAAATTATTAGACAGACATATATGTTCAAATATGAGGATTAATGATGATTTATTATACATTTTATTATTCTTAGTTGGGAAATTGCAGTGATGTGTTATTATTATTGCATTCCCTGTGTTTGCTGAGAACGTCTGTTTTGTAGGAATCACAGTGTTCTAAATAAGGTTCAAGGGAGAACTGAAGCAAAAGCTGTAATTATGTTGACATGGGGGAAGACAACGGTCACAGATAGCATATCTATTATTGTCATTAGTAAATGTATTTTTAATTTGCCAAAATTCTATTAGCTGGAATCAAAAGATGTGTGTTAAGTTTGGTTGGATATAAACTGGATTGTTCAAATGCATTCAAGTAAATTAATGCATTGAATTTTGGTTATCAATGGATTATCTACAGCACTGTAGTTTAAATGTCTGTCCTCATTTATGTCAGTTTGGTCTTATTTTTCTCCCATACAAGTCAAGTGTGATTTATGTTTTGGTGCTAAGCAGCAGATGTATGTCCTGGTGTCAGTGCATGAAGAATGATTTCACGTCATATGTTAATCTCCTTCTCTAACGTGTTGTCCATCCATCCATCCATCATAGATAAATGATAAATAAGAAACAAACGTATTGTTTCTGTCGTATAATAAAGGGTTAGGGTTCGTCCATATGCTGTTGATGATGAGAATGTAGCAGTAATGTCAGAGCGGGTTTGTGGCGGCCGTTGCCTCAGTGTGTGGTGTTGCTTGCTCCATCTGGGCCCTGTCATGCAGATCAGGCTTCAGACATTAATCTCCCCTCACCTCCCAGTCACATGACCTTTATGCATCATTGAATCACCTGGTTAGACTCCCTGTGCAAACACCAGTTAATTAAATATTATCAGAGGCTTCGTTTTTGTTTGTTTTTTTATATTGTTTGACTTGAACTCACCTGCATTCAGTGCATTTACCTGTAAATACAGCTATTCTGATCCAAACTAATACCAGTGCTTAGGTAATGAAAAATGTGAGAATGGGTGGGACGTATGTTTGCATTGCCTGTCAGTAGCCTGACAGTAATGAGTCCTCTTGCTTTCTCACACACTTAGGTCTCCTCCTCTGCTGCTTTGCCCTCCCGTCCTTTTAAAATCCCAGCAGTCCGATCATTGAGTCTGCGCTCAGCTGACAGAAGACTGTGGTTTGCAGAAACTAAATGTCTCCGGACAGTTGAGGAGAGCCATTTTCTGGGATCTGTTTATGTTGTGAAACATTTTGTAACTCAGACACTGGACCGTTGCTGCCGGTTCAGTTGCTGCACATATTTTTGCCTAATCAGTGACCCTTCATTGTGGTTTTGTATGGAGTAAACTCTGGTTTCAAAACACTTAGCACTGACCATTCACTCAAAAGCAACACTAAGTGAGTTGAAGTGACACAACACCATGTCTTAGACTGGCTTTGAGCAGCTTTAAGCAGATTTCTTCTACTGCGTGTTCAGTATACGCTGTACAGTATTAATCATTTCCCATCAGTGGACTTGCTGCCTGTCCAGGTTTCACCTGGAAGTAGCAGAGAGAGTGTATCATAGCATAGCATAGCAGCACTGACATGCTTGACATACTTAACAAATTAGAATAGTAAAATAACACTCTGAACACAGACAATAGATGAACCCATCCCTTCATTACTGAGATACCAGGCTGATAAGTCAGTCACATGCTAGAGCTATTTATGGTCATGGATTAAAATAATTGTATTGTGTTTTTGTTTTCTTTATGACTCCATCTTTGAAAAGAACAACAAACTTGAGCTTTACATAAGTAGAGACATGTAGCTAGAGGAGCAGGCAGGGCATATGATTGGCTATGATTGGCACATCGTAGCTAGAGGAGCAGGCAGGGCATATGGAGAATATGATTGGCACATTCATCAAAACATTCATCTTGATTCACTCCATGAGACTTTGACGTTTAAAATGTTAGTTTCTTCATGAGGAACATCATCTTCTCCTCATGACTGTGTATCTAAGTGGTGGAGCAGTTAAACAGGCAGTTACATCACTTCCACAGCGTTATGTTCACTTTGTGGCTGCTCCATGTGAAACCTTAGCCCCACATTAGGTCATTCTTATTGAAAAAAATGGTCATAATTTCACCCAATACAATAATTCCTTCCTCCAACAGTCCAACCAATTATGATTCCCCCAGCCATTAAGCTGTAGTAATGAAATAAACACCAGTGAGAAAAATGATTTCTATCTCTGCAGACCCCACACAGTCTGATCCACGGACAACAAACACATCTTAGCATCCAATTACTGTAGTTTCAGCTCAGATTAGTCCAGCACTTCATCACAGTGTGGGACATGTCCATTTTGTCCACTCTGCCTCCGTACATCCGTGACACCAAACCTGTTGAAAACAAGAGCGTCAGCGATCTGAAATCAGCTAGAACTTTTAAAAAGCAGGTGCTTCCAAACAAACTATTTAAGAGAAAAAAAGCAAACCATTAGTTCTGTATGAGAAACTATCACGGCCGAGTGAGGGTATGATTCACGCCTTAGACACAGGAGCAAATAACACTGACCAAACACTGAGGTCACTAATAGCAAAACCAGACAACACAGATTGACGTTTAAGTGGCACCAGCACCAGCTTAAACTGTCCTATTGAAATGTTTTGTTTGTTTTTTTCATTCATTACATTACACCAATACTCAACATAATTAACTCGGTCAAAATATCTCTTGCAAATCCAGTTATATTTACAAAACAAAACACTCTTGTTTATTAAAATGTTTAAATGTCTAACACTGATGAAGCATGGAGAAAACGTCAGGTTGTTGACAAATTCCAATGTGAACCAGGTACTAGATTAGACCATTAGATAACAGACACACTTTTCTGCAGGCATAATTACACTGTTTAATGTTACCACCCTTCTCTTTTTAAAATGTCTTTCCTTGGAAAAGTCCCATGCTTTCTGTCTCCTGAAACCTGTTTTGCGGCCCAGTGCAGGTGGATCATTCTCAGAGTTTATGTTGGTTTTGTCTTTAAAGATGATCCTCATGCGCCTGTTGGGTCGATTCTGTTACTGTTTTCAGACTTTTTGACCTGAGTGTGACTGGAATGCAACCCTCTTGGCCCTCACATCGGATGTGGAATGTTAAAAACAGCCTCTTTTTTACAGGTGTAGGTTACATAGTGAGGTGTTTGTTTCAGGTTTGCAGTGCAGGTTCTTTGGGTTAATTAAAAAATGGACATGTTGCTCAGTTAGTTTGTATTGCCACATGCTTAGATATCCTGATCCTACAATGACTCCAGCTGTCTGTGCAGTAATACCTGGAGTTTGTATGACAAAGTAGAGCCTTGTACCTCAGTCCAGAGTCCAGTTCTCTGGTTACCCAAAGATCAGGGGTTCCCAAACTGTTTTGCTTGTGCACCCTCTTCAATATCCCTACCTGGCTGATGCACCCCAATTACTAAGACTTTTGAGAGAGAAAAAAAATTACACAAAAATTGCAACAAGCTTTCTTATAAAGACTGCATGTTCAATCATGCTCAAATGACCAGAACACACATATAACGCACACAAACATATATATAGCCTTAGTTGTTTAATAATTTAAATGTCAACTTTTAAACATTTTAAATTTTAAAAAGGAAATGTTTATATACACGTTTTTGTTGTAAAAAAATAAAAAATAAATCACACTCCAAACCGCCTTCACATTTCATCTTGCGCATCCCCTAGTGGCAGCTCGCATGCACCACACTTTGAGAATCCCTTGCCTAGATGGTTCATTTTGTGACTTTCACAGCATTACCGGTTATAGACGCTTTATTTGGACCAGGCCATGACTTCCGGTGCTGACAAAGTTAGTCTCACTGTTGGATCCGGACCTAAAGAGGTAACACATTTCAAACACATCCTACCCTACCACCTTTCTGTCACCCTGATAAATTAATATCATAAATGCATACAGTATTTTTCTTTTTTCTTTTTATTCATTCATTACTAATCTTCATGTTTTGTTGTTTGTTAAACTAATAACCAACTAATTTGACCTGGCTGCTGTGCAGAAGACATAGAAGAAGAGTACAGAGTAGAGAAGAAAATAAATAATAATAATAATATAAATAAAGTTAGATTTAACCCAAGTGTGGGCCATACTGTGGACGCAGCCTACCTGGGTTATTGGAGAGACGCATCTGTCCTCCCTCTTCGTGACGTCACAGCAGCCGGAGTTATTCGTCTCCTAGGCTGAGCTGGAAGTGCGGCAGATAACTGTGAGGAGGAGGAGGAGCAGTCAAAGTTTGACTTTCCCTGAGAAGGAAAAGCAACAGATCCAAGCAGTTGTTTTTTTCCCTTAAGTAGAGACAAAGCGAAGGAATATCGCGTCCTGTTGACATGGACTGACACCTTCTCTCTGTGGAAGCTTCAGGGGTAAAAAGAAAACACCACGATGGAAAGCCTTTGCGTGAAGTGGATCATTCTCACCTCTCTGCTCTGCCTCAGCTCCTGCGGTCTGGCGGAAAAGAAAGGTATGTCAGGCAGCTATTACTACATATACATGACTGGGCTGCAGTGGGGAAACGGCATTTTCTCCCTGCACTGTGTTTGTCCTTTTTGTTTTTGTTAGTTCGTTTTGTTTGTTAACGCGCGTCTCACTCAAATCACGGGCGTCTCACCAAAGCCGCAGAGAAACTCAATCCAACCTTGGAGAAAAGTTTCTCACGGATTTGAGACCTGACAGAAGCCACAGAGAGGCTCCAGTCTAGTCAAACATGCTATGGGTTGAATGTGTTGCGAAATTTAGTCGATTAGTCGGTTAATGTGAGTGCACTGTGAGCCTGCATGCACCACAGAGATGATGGTGATGGTGAAAAGACGTTGACTGTGACTTTATGTCCTCTGTCCTTGAAGTGGTTTCAACTCCTCAAAATATTATTCATGATCTCCCTTTGGGCTGTGTTTGCAGGCGAAAATAGAAGTAAATCTAGGCTGTGCAGTCACCTTAGAAGTTCACCTGGACTCCTTCTCTTATAAGTTTGCATCAGTGACGTATTCTGAGCATCCTGACCTGGTTTCAGTGAATGTTTTCAGTCATCCAGGTCGTTTCCATCTTTAGAAGTTTGAAAGTTCTGTAAAGTTTACTTTGCAAACATAATTTGAATCTGTGTAGCGTCAACCGTGTCAAAGATCAGTACAGATTTTGGTGCAATATGAGAAACAAGATTAAAATTCCATCAGGGCCAGTCACTCAGCTGAACATGCAGCAGTGAAGTAAAGCAGAGATTCTGCAGTGTTTCATAAACGTTCTGGGGAAAGTATGAAAACAAGCGGTTCCTGTAACTTACTCGTTTCAGGGCTTCTCTGAAGGTCGTCTGACTCTCGGTGTGTAAAGTAAATATTGTTTTGGCTGAAACATTTGTACTGTTTTAACAGCTTTTAAATGCAACAGTCTCTGATCATGGGACGTCCCAAGACGTTTAACCCAGGAACTGTTGTCATACAGTAATACTTTTGTGTGGCCTTTTACTTTTTCTTTTAAAATTAGGCCTGATGTCTGTTTTCTGTAGCTCAGTTTCCAGAGGTTTCAGAGATCAGTGCAGCACAGAATTAAATGTTTGTGAATCTCTGCCTCGTCATCAAACTTGTATTTTTATTTTGTTTCTTTTTTTGCCGACTTTAAGCCTTACTTACACGTAAGCTATCATTAAGCTCTCAGAACATTTCCTGACTGAGGAAATATTTTAATCCAAATTCCGGTATTTTTTTTTTCTGTATTTAAAGCTGTTTTTTTTTCAGGATTTCATTTTTATACCTTTTGTACAATTTACACTTATATAAAAAGAAAGATCGGACCCAAATCCTTCCACTTAATTAAAATGTGAGAGTATGAATAAATGTGGGAAAAAAGTGAACTGAACTCAACCTTAATCTGAAGTGAGTCATACATCATGAAGGCAGCCTGTCGTCAGGGAAAGTGACCACATCTCTTTGCTCCCTAATGATTTTGTACTTCCTATTCTCATGAATCATTAGCGTCGATTTCTCGTTACACCAGTGTTCCTGCTCACGGGCACAGTGTGTTCATCTCAAGCAGCACACGTGCACCACGCAGTTGCGTCCTCGGTGTGTTGTGCAGAAAATAACAGCCAGCACCGGTTTTCAGATGACCATAACAAATCCAAAGTGTTTGTGACAGAGTCCCTAAATATTTCTGGGCCTCTAAACAAACTAGACGGCGCGCAGCAGCGAGGCTCCCACAGTAAAACCAGGATTCTGGGATTTTTATCCAGTCCAGAGAGGTTTAGAATTGAGCAGCTGTATTGTATGCACAGTGCAGCCCAGTTTAATTACTGTACAATTTTTCAGACTGCATCAATTTGAAATTTCCTGCAAAAATCTGGAATGAGCTCTGCCATATGGTCGGACTGGTTTAGTTGTTGAATTTGTGTCTGTCTTTAGGCCAGGGGCTCAGACAGATGTTTCTTTGTGGTAGGGTCTGCTTTTCTAGCACACAGTGTCTACACTAGTTAAAGATGATTCGAACAAGATGTCAAACTGAATCATTCTGTCAGCGACACTGAGGAAATGGATGTGAGGACGGTGGGTTTACAGACCGAAAAAGAGAGCGTTTTGGTGGATGTTCCGTCCTCCATGTGGACCTATTGTCGAGAAAGTTTAAATCTTTTCTGTACAAAGAGACAACACTTTCCCTTTTTTCTCATTAAGCATGAGTTAAGTTACAATAAAATGTTTTATTATATTAGCCTGAAACAGGGCTAGGTCACCTTTTTTTGAACTCCAGGCAAATATCTTATTATTTTAACTGTTTTATTATTTTGCACCACAACAGTATGTTATACTGTACAGTGGAAAGTTCTCAGACCTTTTCTTTAGAGGGAAGAATCACACAGACGGGTCCAGATGCCTTTCTTTGGTGTCACCAGCCAATCCTCTCTCTTTTTCCAGTGTCATGATTTTGCTTAAAATGTTGACTTAAGTTGCAGAACACATACTGTCTGTCGTCAGGACGTATGTTTATGGTTCTGTGATTGTCTTCTGATAATAGTTTCAATGGTGCCTGATGTTGTGTAAAAAAAAAAAAGCTTGGTCTCAACTTTTCTTGCCTTCCAGATCGTTACAGATGAGCTCAGGCCCAGGAACCTCTCGGTTTCTGCACTAAATGAATGCCTTGGGGGACAATTTGCATGAGAAATCCCAATATTCAAATTAGAAAAACCAAAAAAAAAAAATTAGAACTAAACACATGGACTCTAACTTGTATCATCAATACAATACAGCCTTTTCAGCAAACACATTTTGATAAGCGCTCTGTCCGAGGCTCGGCGACAGTCCGTCCAAGGTGTGACAGCTCTGTGGGAGTCAGACAGGACTCACTGAATAATAGAGAAGCTCTCCGTGCCGTCTGCTGGCATCCTCCTTTTTAATAGCTGTTATTATCTGTGGAGTGATGGAAAATAATGCCTACAGCTTCACCCTGTAGCCAAACACCAGTAGTGACAGTGGTGATTTATCCAGGAGAAAATGCCAAAGTGGTTTCTGAACCACCTGGTTTTCCTGTGTGATTTGAGATGCACCAAAAACAGGTAATCATTCAGAATTTTACAGCTCACTAAAATATTTCTAAGGTTTTTTTGACTCGTAGTTGGACAATTTAATCAGACTGTGAGATGTGAACGATCAAAGTAATCTCAGGGTCTTGTCGCTGGCTTAATCCTTAATCCCTGATATGAGGCTAACACAGCCCAAAGTAACCCGCTTATATCAATATGCTTTCTCTTATTCGATGCTTTATGCAGGTTCGTGACAGACTGAAGTTAAAGTTACAATTCAAAGTATAGCCGATAAAGTCCAGCATCATTTCTGGAGTCGACTGGGTTTGCTCACTGGTAAACCTGAGAGCTGAATCATGACTAAAGTTTACTCCTACGGTGCTTTTTCAGCATTTTGAGTGAGTGATTTTCCTTCTGCCTTGTGTTGGGATCTAACAAGCCAGTTTCCCTCATCAGTCGTATACTTTTTTTCATCACTTTCACTAAACTGTGCCTTTTATTTTCATTACAGCCCACTCACTGGGCTCGGATTGATGTCAGTAGTGAAATACAGGTTATGATCCTGTGTAATTCTAGAATCTCCAGTCTGCGTTTTCAGGTCCAGAGTGGCTCTGGTGCTACTACTGCTGTTGTTGAGGCTTGATGGTCCTCTGATGACCTTCCCAGACATCCATCTGCCTCAGCCATTGTTGGAAATATGGTTTCTTGGTTCAGGCCGTGGGAGCAGCAGGATGATTTCTCACCACGCTCCTTTCCAGCTTTGACAAAGTGCACCATGTCTGAGTGGTAGAGACTTCAGAGAGCTGCAGGCCAGGGAAAGGATTTTGGTTTCACTCTGGGACAATAGCACTTCTGTGAGGAGCAGGTTATCTGGCTACACTGCTACATCAGATTTGTACCTTTCAGCAGACACGTCCTGGACCAGCCGTGTGTCATCAGGACGGAACCCAGCAGCGCAGACACCTTTTTGTTTTTACTCCAAATAATCAGAATACAGCCAACCTTTTGTTTGCACCTCCATCAGAATGCAGCTGTATGTGATAGATATTAATTATTGAAAACACTTGTTTTAACCGCACACTTATAATAAAACCGCTGTTCTCCATTCAGCGGTGTGTATACATCCACTGAGAACACAGCGTGGAACAAGTGAGCGTATGTGGTTACTCATTCAACTGTTCTGTCTTCTTTGTTTGCGCATGGTGACAGTCATCCACCACATTTATGGCTTTCCATGATCCACTGGCTTTGTATGGAGTCTCCAGTGGAAAGAGACCCAGGAATTCAGGTTGGAAAAAAAGGCCCTCTGATATCTTCCCATCTCAGGTGCAGTGTCGAGTTTAAGGGAAAAAAAAGAGGCCATAGCTCCAGTTGAGTAATTGAGCTTGTCTAAGTATGTCTATCTCTTAAACCTGATCTGACTGGAGGGGATGTTGCCATCATGAGTTTCTGTTTTGCTTTTGAGGCGTGTTCCAGACACTTTTTTGGGAACAAAACATGACCTTATTTTAAACAATTCTCACATTTGAGAAGTTTGCTTCATACCCTATAGGTAAATCTTTAGTCCTTGCATTATTCAATATAACAATAGAAATGAAAACTGAATAAAACAACCACATGGTATTTAATCGTGGAAGCTCAACTCATTTAAAAATATATATATTTTATAACACAATATTTTTTTCAGTAAGTGGATGTGTATTTTATATTATATATTATATTGTTGTCTAAGTCAATAGGTCAGCTCTAATAGCCTGGGAAAGGATAACAGCTTGGACAAAACGTCATACCCATTGGTTAGAAGAGTCATTAAAAGATCTGTTTAAACTGGCCCTGGATCAGTGCAGGTGGGTCTTCTCTGTTTTCAGCTTCAGCATTGACACAGATGAATGTATTATGTGCATTAAAAATGTTTGCTTATACTAAACAGGCAGGTAGTTTATGATACTCTTTAACATGAATTATTTTTTTATATTCTGATTAAATCCCCACGAAGCCATGCTTAAAACTTGTTTCATCTGGAATTGCAAAGAAAATGGGTCTACTATTTGAACAAAACTATAGTAGAGGTCTTTTTTATATAGGAGGGGGTTCCCACTCCATCTCTCCATCAGTTTGAGGATCCTAGGTTTAAAAGTACATTGAAGAACCAGGCTCAGGAGAAAATGAAATTTATATCAGGATTCAATTTCAGCCATGATAATAAATTAGGTATTGTCTGCGCCATCCAAAGTTATGCTGCTCTGAGTCTGTCACCGAAGTGATCTATGGTTGAACAAAAACGTTCAGACTTAAAGTCTCAGTCTGTTTATATGATTAGAAAGCTTAGAAATATCAGACAGCCATTCATTAAAAAACAAAAAAGCTGAAGTGATGCTTAAAAAATTATAACACTTTTCCTGACCTGTGTAGTGTGGTGGATTTTTTTTTCCATCGTCTTGCTTCGTTTTGTAAACATCTGTGATGTCAAGCACCTACACACGAAGCATGGGTTAAAAAAAAACACACAAAACGAACAAAATCAGACAAATCTGGGTCTAAAGAGTTTGAAGAGATTCAACACTAAATGTATTGATTTAATCAGGCAAAATGAGAGTGAGGTGAGAATAATAATAATATTAATAATATTATAAAGGTGTTTGTTTGTGATCTCTGGTCTTTGCTGCTTTTCTTTGGCTCCCAAAGAAACTTAAGTCTACCAAGGTGGGGCAACGCCTCTAATGACTGCAGGTTATTCTGAGTAGTGAAGCTTCAAACAATACTTAGTAGGAATCGCCTACAGGGACAAGAACAATGGCTTCATCAACACATTCCCATCTCTATTTGGTATTAGAGATGGCTATTTGGGAAGAAGGCATCAAGAATGGAGGAAGCTAATCTGGTCCCCATTTCCTGTGAGGCCCTTTGGACTAAAGGATCTATTTTGAATTGTGAGTTTTATTTAAATGAAGAATAAAAAAGAGCAAGTTTGAATTGTTTTTGTTTTTTTCAAAAGTTATGAATAAAGTTATTCAGAATTTAAATTTTGAATCCCGTTTGAAACATTAGGAGGGGGGGTTTCCTGCCTCACATCCTGATTAAAAAGGATGTTGTTGCTCCAAGACTGAAAGCTTGAATATTTGTATTGGCTCTGGTCTGTATTATTGCTTCATAGTTAAAGGCCCCTCTTTTCAAGCTGACAGCTGTGGCTAGAAACATTGACTAGAAATGTTCAGCTTGACTTGACTTCAAAACATCACTTAGTTGGTAGGTAAATATGTTTCCGTCTGCCTTTGGATTTACAACATTATGTATGCCTGTAGTGTGCAAAGTTTACAATGGCTTCAAAACAATCTTGTCATTTCTTCTTTACTCCGTAACCCACATCCTGAGAAATTTAAATTCTCTCTCTTTGAAATGTCTCTCCTCATAATCAGACGGCTTAAAGACAACATAATGTGTCTGAAACTTTAACCTCCTTGGCAGAGGTCAATAAAAAATGTCTTTACTTTTATTAAAGAATGACATGCTTCATTGCCCAGGTGTGGCCCTGATGGTAACCACGACTCCACAGAAATTCCCTGTATTTATTGAGAGATTTTAGAAAGCAAAGTAAACATATACAGACATGCAGAATCACTTGTTAACTGATACATGTATGCTTCCATGTTTATACTTGTATAGACCCCCTGCCACATCCTTGAATGGGCCTTGTGTTGACAAGTTGCAAGGCCTTGTGCAAAAAGTATACTCTCATGCACTGTTCGTGGTGGATTTTTCCAGGAGGCTGCAACAAAAAATTAATATGCCAGGAAATCAAATTGTTGATGGCGATGTGCCAAAAACTCTAGAATACAGAAAAGTGCACGAGTCAGATTCAGCCCTTAGTGGCTCCTGCGTAAACTCTGCAGTACTCTAAGGAATGTCTCCTTTCTGCTAGAAACCCCAACGTCTTTGTACAAAGGCTTCTTTATTTGAGACTTTGTTGTCTTCTTTGACACAGACTTATCTGTCTTCCTTGACCTTAACTTGCCATGTAGACATGACTTTACAGCCTTGTGTCAACAGTAAAGAGAAAGGCATCCCTGTTGGCTGCAAGATGGAGACGGTCCCACAATTCATTTGATGCTCTCGCAGCTTTATATTAAATATGGACAACATAATAGTAGTAATACTCTGGAAGCCTTGTTTAGGTTCATTGGTTTTTTAAACCAATAAAGTTTTGTTATTCAGTTTCACCACGCTTTGTGTACAAGACATTGGACATTAAAGCTTTGTTTAGTGAATCTGCAAAGTTATAGTTCAGAGGATTTGTCATAGAAATTACAAGGGTGGAGTCAAGTTTTTTTTTCTTTTTTAATTAGAGAATAAAGACCCA